GAGGTCCGTTTCCCGTGCTTCTTTTCCGTGCGTCGAGGTGCCCCTCAGCGGTCCTCGCCGAGGAAAAACATCCTCCTCCTCCTCCTCCTCCTCCTCCCCCTCCTCCTCGGACGCGGGGCGCTGACTCTTCAAAAGGAGGACCCAACACCACAGGATGGGTGGGAAACATTGCAACATACACCCCTGCATAGAATGAAGGACATCTTAACCTAAAAGCGTGAACTTCGCTCCGAGCGTTTTCTTAAGCAGCAGTCCGGGAACCAAGAGAAGCTCCAAGAGAACGCCCAGGGTCCAGTCCAGACTCTTGATTTTTGTACGCAAGCGCAATCAGGATTCCATGATAATTGGAATATTTTCTTACGATTGCGATGTTCTCGTCCGATTGTACTGAACGCGTCTGGAGACCCGGACCCCATCCGTCGGCGCCATTCTTCGAGCCGGATCGGTCCGTGAGGGTCCTGGGCCACGAAAGTGGGGCGAGAACGCCCAGCTCGAAAACAGTGCGACGCCCGGACCTCCGGGATCCTCCGACCTCCAAGAGGAGGTGTGGGACCTCCCGGTCGGCTACACGCAGGAGCGACCCTGGGTACAAGAGTTCAGTCGGGCCTGTCCCCCTACAGGGGGATTTTGGACGAGAAATAAAACATACCCCCAAAATAATCAAAAAATGACGAAAAAATAGCCTGGGGACTATTTTTTGAATATGCTTTGGCCATTTGGGGGTATTTTTGGGGTATTTCTTCTTTTTCGTAGAAAATCCCCCTGTAGGGGGGCACGCCCGACGTACTACGAGAGTGATCTTCTTGGTGCGCGGCTCTTGGACTACTTTTTGAATATTTTTTACCTTTTTGGAATATTTTGGGGGTATTTTTATTTTTTCGTCGAAAGGCCCCTTGTAGGGGGACACGCCCGACATAATACAATAATGATCTTCTTGGTGCGCGGCTTCTGGAGGGCGCGAGGGGGCCAAAACCCAAGCAAGCGCGCGTGTGGCGCTCGGGGGTGCCCAGATGGGCCCGCACCGGCGGTCACTCCAGCGACGGGCCACTCCCAGAAGAAGACAAAATGCCATAAGTTACCAACTTCGAACTTATCCCTTTTCTAAGATTGACACGCCAAAAGGCGATGACAATCTTTGGGATGCGCCCTCAAAAAATAGGGGAATCCCTAAGATTGGCATCGTGATGAGGAGATGCCCAGCATAGGGATGGGGATGTCTTCCAGGCTGGCAAATAACATGAACTTTGGGCGCTCAGCGCGGATCTCTTGGATCTGCGCTGGACCCTCCCTCCCTGGCGCGCGGAGGCGCCGCCAGGGGCGGCGCCGCAGGCGCCGCAAGGGGGGGCCCAGCGCGGATCCAAGAGGCCCGCGCGGAGGGCCGAGGTTTTCTGTTCTTGGCGTTTCTCTTCTTCGACGATGGACCCGCACCGGAGGTCATCCTGGCAAAGGGTCACTCCAGCGTGTAGGCCCTCCTGGCTCGTCCGAGCGCCGACGACGACGACGACGTGACGACGAGGACGACGACGTGACGACGACCACGACGACGACAGCGGCCACGACGACAAGACGACAAGACGACAAGGACGACGACGACGACGACGACGACGACGACGACGACGACGACGACGACGACGACGACGACGACGACGACGACGACGACGACGACGACATGGCCCCCCGCGGCTCCCTGCCGGGGCTCTCCTCGCCCTCGGCCTCCCGCGGCTCGCGGGCGCTGGGGCTCGCGCCCATCGCCTGCCGACGGTGCCGCCCGTCGTCGTCGTCGTCGTCGTCGTCGTCGTCGTCGTCGTCGTCGTCGTCGTCGTCGTCGTCGTCGCCACCGTCGTCGTCGTCGTCGTCGTCGTCGTCGTCGTCGTCGTCGTCGTCGTCGCCGTCCTCGTGGGAAGACGCACGGAGAGAGGCAGGGGCAGGAGGGATGGAGAGAGAGACGAAGGGGAGGGCAGGGCGGAGGAAGGGGCCGGGGTGGTGGTGGCCGCTTCGGCTGCTGCTGTTGCTCGAGGGGAGGCAGGCCACGAGGGGGCATCGGGAGCGCACGGCGCAGGCGTGCCGCCCCAGCGCCTGCCGATAGAGCGCGGGCCGGGGTGGGCGCGCCGCGGGGCCGCGGGGCGGGCGGCCCCGCACGGGGAGCGGCCCTGCGCAGCGGACCTCTGCGAGGCCGAGGGCTGCCGGCACCACATGCCTTTGAGGCTCTGGGCGTGGCATCGCTCAGACGCCCAGCCCCCGAGCACGTTTCGGTTTTGTGATTTTTGTTGTTGTTCTTTTGTTTATTTTTCTCTCGCAAGATGACCCCAAGTGCTCCTCGATGGTCTCCTCGGAGAAGAGACTGCGCACGTCCGAGCGATGCTCCGTCGAGTGAGCGACGATCAAAAACGGGTCTTCGTGCAAGACGACATACCGGCCTGACGCGGCGGCTTGCGCGGGCCGCCGGCGCGGCACGCCACGTCGGAGGCGAGGGCACTCACGCGCGGCTCTGCGCGGGCAGCTCACGCGGCAGTGTCGGCGCAGACGACCCTGTGTTTTGGCGTCGCTCAAGTGTTGCACTGCCAGAAGGATGAAGAGGCCCTGGGACACACGAATAGATACACACAAAAATAACAGGATCCGCCATATTCTCATATATTTTCTGGGTTTTTGTCTTCCCCCCACTTCCTATATTTTCCCAGATGTTCTGGGAATCGACGATTCATTGTATCTGTGTTTTTCCCCTCCTTGAAGAACTCGAACATGGAACCGCTCGCTGCAGTACCCCGAGCGCCGCGCCGCACCGAGCCTGGCCCCGCGCCACCGCGGCGCGCGACGTGAAGGCTACAGGTGGAGGACGCGGGTCCCGAGGGAGGCGGGCCCTGGGCGTCCGAGCCTGCTCGCGAGACCGACCTCTCACCGAGAGCCGTCCCTGCACGGCCCCAGGGTCCTGCAGCCCGAAAGCGGCGGAACAGCTCGGGGCCCTCTCGAGTTTCCCTTCGCGGCTAGCATGGCCGGCGGGCGAGGCTCCCGAGACAGGGGCGCGCTGGCCGCGTCGCGTGTGTGTCGAGCTTCCCTCTGCAGAGCTCCTCGCTGCAAGACGTCGAGCGCCGCACCGCATCGGGCTCCTGCTCCGTGCCATCAAGGAGGAGGAGGAGGAGGAGGAGGAGGAGGAGGAGGAGAGGAGGAGGAGGAGGAGGAGGAGGAGGAGGAGAGGAGGTGGAGGAGGAAGGGAGGAGGAGGGAGGAGGGAGGAGGGAGGAGGAGGAGGGAGGAGGGAGGAGGAGGAGGGAGGAGGAGGAGGAGGAGGAGGAGTAGGAGGAGGAGGAGGAGGAGGAGGAGGAGGAGGAGGAGGAGGAGGAGGAGGAGGAGGGCCCGCAACATGAACGGCTGGCATGCGAGGGCGCAGGGGCCCGGTCGCGCCAGGCCTCCGTCTCTGTCGCGTTGCTGTCCTTCGCCCTGTTTCGCTTCGCCTCCTCCCGCGCGGCCTTCTTGGTGTCCTGCGCGCCCCGGCTCGGAGATGGCGGCGGCGAGGGCAAGCAGGAGGCGGCGGAGGACGAGAAGGAGGCGGAGAAGAACGATTGAGATCTTGTAGCGTGCGGGAACGAAGCTGACCTGCGGCGCCTGCCTCAAGAGCAGGCCCGACTCAGATACGAACTTGCACGCCAAAGCGCCCTGATCTCGGTCTTCAGACTCGGGCCCCTCCTGCAGCACCAGCCCAGACCGCGCTGGCCCGAGAAGCTGAGGAGCGCAGCTGAACATGAGGTGGAACGCGAACCTCCAGTGTGCATTCAAAAAGCGACCCCCTCTGCCAACTATTCATCCACATGCACGAGGAGCGAGCGCTAGGGTTAGGTCAGCTATGCCCTCCTACAGGCGGAATTTGGAAGACAAATGAAACAAACATGAAAACAATAACAAACCAATAGTCAAACATAGCCGAACATTCGCCCCCAGACTATTGTTTGACTGCTTTTGAACGTCCCTCCTGTCGAGGGACATGCCCGACTTCACGCTGGGGGGGGGAAGGACCCGAGGAGCCCCAGGCCCCTCTCGCAACCGGGCCCAGGCCTCCGCGCAAAAAAAAACGGCCTCGGGGCTGCAGCCCGAGTGCCACGGCGCGGGCCCCAGTACGAGCCCCCCCGCCCCCGCCCCCGAGGACCAGCTCGCTCAGGTCCTGACGACCTCTGCGGCCCCCTCCACTCGCGCTGGCGCCCCCCCCAATTCGTTACAGGTTCACCTGGGCACCTCTGGATTTACAGTCGGCCTGTCACTATCATCAAGGATGCGCGATGAGGATGCAAGGGCCCTGGACGGCCGTCTCGCGGCTTCTCGAGCGGAGCGCGGCCAACGAGAGTGGCCAAAGATGGACCGAGGAGACCAGGATGCAAGGGTACCCATGGGAAGGTTGCCCATCCTCACTATGCGGGTTGACTGCACACCGACTCGTCTGCATCTGCTTCGCTGCACGTGTAGACTGACTTGGAGGTGCCTCGCCCCCGCAGCTCGACCCGAGCAGAAGCCCCGACGGGAGCAGTCCCCTCCCCCCCCCCCCCGCTTCCCCGCAGCGCGGCGGCGGACACGCGCGGCAGAGCAGCCCCAGGCCTGCGCTGTGGGGTACATGGCCGTCCTGCTGCCGTGCCACAAGGGGGGCGCCAAAAAATCATGGATCCCCAGAAGGGGGCTCGTCCGGCCGGCTACACGTAAGAGCGAACCTGGGCAAGAGTGACCTTTGGTGCGCGGCTTTCGGGGGCCACGATGGGGCCACAGCCAAGCGTGCTGGCCGGTGCTGGGGGGACCCCTGTCCAGGGCTCGACCCAAACAATGTTTCTCGTGTTCGTTATGGTTTTTGCTCTCCCTCGCTTTGTCTCCGATCCGCCTCTCCGATCGCCCAAACACCGCTCCGGTCGAGCCATGCCCCAGTCAGCCCGCACACGAAAGGTCACTCTGGCGAAGGGTCACTCTAGTACGTGCAGTCCATCGGCCACCGCCCCCCCCCCCCCCCCGAAAGTTTCCCTGCATGGACGGGGGGGGGCCCTGAACCTGAAAAGCAAGCCGCGAACGACCTGCACGTGGGGAAGCCGCGCCAGCCGAAAGGCACCTGCACGCCAGCAGTTCTGCGTTCGAAGCGGGGCGAGGGGAGGGGCGAGGGGGGGGGCAACGCCGCGAAAGTACACTGACCTTCCAGGAGGGCTCAAAAATAGCTCCCGACCTAAAAACCTATCCCAGAGCTATTCTACGTCTTGGCTTCAGGCTGTTCCGCTCTGCTTTTTAGGCGTTTAGGTCTCCATGTGCTAAAAAATAGCTCTCTGGAAGGTCAGGGTAGAAGCCTGCCCGAGCCGAACAAGAAAGAAAGCTCTCCCCAGCCCAGGCCCCCGGGGGGCGGCCCGGCCCGCAGGCGGGAGCCCCGCCCCACCTGACCCAAATGGGTCCTCCACTCCGCGCCCCTGGCGTTAGGTCGGGCATGTCCCCCTGCAGGCCGACTCTGGACGAGAAACAAAACAGAATCACAACAATCTCCAAACAGATGCAAAAATACAGAAAATCGTCCCCGGACTATTTTTTGGACTATTTTTGAATATATTCCTCCTGCAGAGGGACGCGCCCGACTTCACCCCAGACCCAAGGTGGTCCTCCACTCCCCGCCCCTGGCCGGGCGTTGGCAGAACTGGGTTTGTGGTGGAACCTTGCTCAATGATCTGTACCGGGGGCGCCCCCCCGTTCCACTTCCACTCACCGGAACTGCCGTCGCCCGACAAAACACCAGCTATGGCAGACCTGGCTTAGTGATCCTGGCCAATTCAAAGGCTCCGGGGCCCTACCACTGACCGGGGTGCCCCTTATACCTGAGGTCCTGACCATACCCGCCCCTGGCTTCCCTGACCTTCCAGAGAGCTATTTTTTTTAGCAAGACCCAAACACCTAAACAACGGAACGATACATCCTGAAACCAAGACGTATAATAGCTTTGGGATAGGTTTTTAAGTCGGGAGCTATTTTTTAGCCCTCCTGGAAGGTCAGTGTTGGCGTGCCCAGCGCGGGGGGCGCCCGGCGGGGCGCGAGAAGACCCCGCGGCGCGGGCCTCTCTCGCGCCCCCCCCCCCCCCCCCCCCCTCCCTCCCGGCAGGGCCTGGCGCGGAGGGCGGCGCGCCACCCCCCTGGCGGGGGAGGGCCGGGCCCAGGGAGGGACCCCTCGAGGTGACGAAGGCGGGGCGACGCGGAGGCGTCGGCGCCCACGTCGCCCCCCCCCCCCCCCCCTCCCTCCCTCCCTCTCTTCCTCCCTCACTCCTCCTCCTCCTCCTCCTCCGACCCCCCCAACTTTCTCCGCCCGCCCCCGCCTTTCTCGTCGGAGCTCGAGGGGCCAAAGGCCAGGGCATCCAGCGTCTCGAGAAGAGCAGGGCTGACCAGCCACGAGCTCATCCCTGTCCCCAAGATGGACGAGCCTTAATGCGATGACAATCTCAGGAGCGCGCCCTCAGAAACGGAGGGAGAATCCGTGAGATCGGCATCCCAAGCAGGTGATACTGCTCGTAGGGATAGGGATGTGCTCCAGGCTGGCAGAAAGCGAATTCGTTTCGTCGCTCTCGGCCTCTTGGGACCCTCGTCAGGCCCCGGGGCCATCAAAAGAACAGCTCGGGATGAACAGCCGGCCTCCAGGAAAGGGCTGGCTGGGATTCTCGGGGGCCCCGCATTGAAAACACCCAAGACGTCGGACGTCGGGAGGGGGAACCAGGCAGCTGGCGGCTCGACTCTGCTCGAAGCGTGGGCCTCTCGACGGGGCTCCAAATTTCCAGTGGAAAAAAACGGCCGCATCGAGTTTGCGAAGCCGCCGAATGCCTGGGCATCTAGTGTGCACTGGGGCGAAGATCCTGAGAGCCGGCGTGCCTATCATTGAACCGTGGGTAATGGAGACCGACCGACGATCAGACGATGAGCAGGAGGCGAGAGGACGAGGAAGACAGGCTGACGACGCAGTCGGGCCGAGATACCTCGAGAACCTCTCTAAAAGCTGGCGGATCTGGAGGACGTCCTGGGCGCCGCGGCCGCTCCAGAGCTCTCCGAGAGCGCTCCGAGAGCGCTCCGAGAGCGCCCTCCAGGAGGAGGAGGAGGAGGAGGAGGAGGAGGAGGAGGAGGAGGAGGAGGAGGAGGAGGAGGAGGAGGAGGAGGAGGAGGAGGGGACGAGGCGGAGGAGGAGGAGGAGGAGGAGGAGGAGCGCGCTCTAACTTCATCCTGGGCCTGCCTGGCCCACCGCCCCCGACTCGTTTTTTCCGGGGCTCCAGTCCAGTGGGGTGTAGTCGTGCTCTTTCGCTGCTGCCCGTGCGGCCTTGCCCTCCCCGTCAACCTGCCCAGCCAAGGCCCCCGCTCCCCGAGCACCCGACCGTCTGGATTCGCTCCATAGGGGGCCTCTACAAAGGGGGGCGTCCAAGAGGGGGACGGGGGGGGGGGGGGGGGGGGGCGCAGACCATGGTCGGCGGCATGTGCAAGGCCCGGGGGGGGGGAGGGGGGACATGGGACGCACTGAAAGAAGAAGAGGGGGCCATGAGATCTGGGGAAATAGCATGGCTCTGGCCCTGATATCCCCCCTCTAGTCATCACCCCTCTCCTGGCCGCCCCCGCTTCAATGCAGGCCCCCCGAGGTCCCGACCCTTTCTGCGGCCCAGCTTGTCACCCCAAGACGCTAGCAACGTCTGTGGATGGGCGCTTGTTACGCCAACAGCGGTTCCCCGTGCATTTTTCGGCGTCGTGTGCGCAGGTTTTCGCAGGATGACCCAAAAGGCTCATCGATGGTCCTTGCCGAGAAAAAATGCACAAGTCCGGGCGATTCTAAGTGGAGTGTGCGTGTGTGTGGGGGGGTCGTGGATTCTGGCGTGTGGGGAGGTCGTGGATTCTGAGCCCCCATCTGCCCCCAGTGCCCCGCTCTCCCCCCCTGTCACAGAGCGGTGGCTGCTGAGCGCGGCGCCGCACTCCCTTTCCCTCCTATCCCCCTCCTGTCCTTCCCCCTTCCTGATGCCCCCTTCCCCGTTTCCCCCTCCTCGCTCTCCCGCTCCCCCTTTCTTCCTTACCTCACCCCTCGTCTCTCTCTGTCTGTCTCTCTCTCTCTCTCTCTCCTCTCTATATATATGTGTGTCTATCTATATTTCTTTTATTTCACGACTTCGTCATCTATTGCATTCCCATTCCCGTCGCCCTCGTCGCCCTCGTCGTCGTCGTCGTCGTCGTCGTCGTCGTCGTCGTCCTCGTCGTCGTCGTCGTCGTCGTCGCCGTCGTCGTCGTCGTCGTCGTCGTCGTCGTCGGCGTCGTCGTCGTCGTCGTCGTCGTCGTCGTCTGTCTCTCCCTCTCTCTCTTTCACCCTGCCTCTTATATATACATACATTTCTGTTTATATATGTATACATATATATATGTCCATATATAGAGTATGCTCTCTCTCTCTCTCTCGCTCGCTCTCCCTCTCTATCGTCCTCCGCTCCTCCTCCTCCTCCTCCTCCTCCTCCCTTTTTCCCTTCCATTCTTCGAAGGAGGATGGCGGACAACGGCAGCGACAGAAGGGGGACGGAAGAATGTGCCCAGGAGCCCAAATGCACCAGTGATCGTGCGCGCGCGCGTCGGTGTGTGTGTGTGTGTGTGCGTGTGTGTGCGTGTGTGTGTGTGTGTGTGTGGTGTGTGTGTGTGTGTGTGTGTGTGTATGTGTGTGTGTGTGTGTGTGTGTGTGTGTGTGTGTGCGTGCGCGTGCGCGTGCGCGTGCGCGCGCGTGCGCGTCGTGCGCGTCGTGCGCGTCGTGCGTGCGTGCGTGCGTGCGTGCGTGCGTGCGTGCGTGTGTGTGTGTGTGTGTGTGTGTGTGTGTGTGTGTGACGGGCCGCTGGCCACATGTACCTGCCCCTCCCTGGGGTTGGGGCGCCTGCGCGGGGCCGCTCTGCGGCGGGCCCCTGGGTCCAGTCTCGCCTTCGGGCGCCCTGCCTCGGCGGCGGGCGAGGGGGGGAAACGAGAAGGAGCAGGTCCTCACAGCAGGCGGCGGGACTTCTCAGAAGCCCTGGCGCCTTCTGCGAAGTTTTCCCTGTCTTCGGGGAAAGCTTAGAACACTTTTTTATTGCCTTCGGGGAAAACTTCGGGGGGAAAAAAACGGAAAGCTTAGAGAACTTCTCGGAAGGGCGGGGGCGGTTCCGAGCCTTCTGAGAAGGCCCTCTCCTTCTCACTGGCCCCCCGCACTTGCCGCCCGCTGCCGCACCCGCCGCGCACCTCCTCCCTCCCCCGCGCCCGTTCGCCCCAGGAGCCCGGCTCCGCCCCGGGGGGCGGCGGCTGTTCGCCACGACCACCACTCCGCTCGGCTACAGTCGGGGCGTTGGCCTAAGGAACCCTAAATAAGGAACGAGGCCCCTTTTTTCCATAAGTTAACCTTCGATCAGCTGTCGAAAACATAAGGGAAGCCTGAGGCAACCTGTGAAACACTTAAGGAACGCGGAGCCCCTCCCCAACGAAAAGGGTTCCTTCTTCAGGGCCCCGACTGTAGGGCGGCGCCGCCTTGCCCAGCACTGTCGCCGCTAGCCCGTGCTTCTCCCACGGGCGGTGCCGCCCTCACAGCCGCGTCGCCTGCCGCCCGCTTTCACTCCCTCTGTCCACAGCGTCGCGGACGCTCTTGGTGCAACGTCACGCCTGCGAGCGGACTGCGTGGGCTCGCTTTCCACCTCCCCCTGCTCGCTCCTGCCACGGTGTGCTCCCCGCGCTCGCGCCAGTCGCCCCTTCGGCTGGGCTCCTGGTCGGACCTCCGTGTAGCTTCTGCAGTGTCCTGTTCTGGCAGCCCCTTTCGCACCCTCAGGTGAGCAGCGGTGGGCGAGGATCGAGCTAGTTTCCTCTTCCTGCATCTATGCGCGTGGCCCCGCTCACATCGGCACCTGCGTGGCCTTCCGCCATCTTCCACGTGCATCCGCTTCTGCTGTCTTTTTCTCTGGCAGCGCTTCGCTTGAGGGCTCGGATGGAGGTAGCAACATACCACAGAAGAGTGCCACGAAGGGGACGGGGGGCCCTAGACAGCCTGGTCCGGCAACTGGTCCAGCAGCCGTTTCGCATGACACCTCCTCGCCACTCATTCCAGGATCGTTCTCTCTCGCCCCAATACCAGTTACACTATTGAACGGAACGGCCATGGTCCCTTGTAAAACATTTACGAAGGTACCCATGGCCGTGCTCTCGCCTCCATGCTGACTGCATTTCTGGTCCAAACGGCCATGATCCTTGGTAAAACGTGCACTAGACATGCACATGACTGTGCGGGGAACCCAAGACCGCCCAGTCTGGTAGCCGTTCCGCCTGAGGCTTTCTCACAATGTATTCAATAATCGTTCTCTCGCCTCAAGGCCGGATACCTTTTTTTTCGTCCAGACGGCCATGCTCCCGCATATCGTACAGACCGCAGAAGTCCCACAGGTCCCACAAGTCTCACATGTCCCACAGGTCTCAGAAGTTTCACAAGTCCCCAAGGTCCCAGAAGCCTCACAGGTCCCACAGGTCTCACAGGCCCCACAGGTCGTAGGTGCCACGGGTGCCACACGTGCCAGATCTCGCCGGTCGTACAGGCCGCACAAGCCCCACCAGGTACCAGAGGTCCCACATGTTCCAAAGGTACCACTGGTTCCGCAGGTCCCACAGGTCCCACAGGCCCCACATGCCACAGAGGACCCCCAGGAACCACAAGTCTCGCAGTTCCCACAGGTCGGACAAGTCCACAGTTCCCACCTGCCCCACAGGCCCCGCAAGGTTTGCAGGTCTCACCAGTCCCACAGACGTCCCCCAAGTCCCACAGGACCCACAAGTCCCACATGTCTTACAGGTCCCACAAGCCCGTGAGGCCCCACAGGTCCCCCCGGTCGGACATGTCCCGCAAGCCCCACAGGTGCCCCGTGTCCTCCGGTGCCCAAGGTGCCCCAGGTCCCCCAGGTCCCCCAAGTCCCACGGGCCCCACAGGTCCTGCAGGTCGTGCAAGTCCCGCAGATCCTATTGGTCCCACAGGTCCCACAGGTCCCGCAAACCCCTGCAGGCCCCACAGGTCCCCCGTGCCGCACGGGCGACACAAGTCCCCCAAGTCGCACAGGCCCCACAAGTCCCACAGTTCTCACACGTCCCACAGGTCCGAGATGCCTCACAAGTCCCAAGGTCGGACAGGTCCCACAGTTTCCCCAGGCCCCACAAGTCTCAATGGTCCCACGGGCCTCACAGGTCCCGCAGTGCGTACAAGCCACACAAGTCTCAATGGTCCCACAAATCTCACAGGTCCCACAAGTTCCCCAGGTCTCACTGGCCTAACTGGTCCCGCAGGTCTCACAAGTCCAGGAGGCCGCACGCGTTTTACAGGTCACACGGGCCCCACAGGTCCCACAGGTCGCTCGATACCCACAGGTCGCACAGGCCCTATCTGTCCCACACGCCCCCCAAACCGCTCAGGTCCCAGATGTCCCACAGGTCATCTCCTGCCATATTAGGGTGCTTTACTGGGCTGACCTCTTGCATGCGTCAGCCTTCGTCCTGACCCCCCATCTGCAAATCAGGGTGGTCATTTGAATAAGCGCGCCCCGCCTCAGGACACGCTGCAGCGACAGCCACTCCGCCGATGGAGGAACAGCCTGTGTGTGCGCTTCATGCCAACACTTGATTGGACTCGCTAACAATATCTTGGCCCCGTGACGGGCTCTAAATTTCCAGGCGTTGTCCAAGATGTTGCACACACGAGGTCATTCCTGTCATAAATACTTGTGTAAGCTTGTGCTATGTAGGACACTCCGCACGCGGGTCGAGCCTCACAGATGTGTTGATTTGCAGGTGCCTCTTGTCTTGCGAGCAGAGGTCAGGTCAGTGCCGCTTCTCACACCACAACTCATTTTCAAGTTCAAAACCCCTGAGTCGGGGGTTTAGAGGCCTGCTCAAACGGTTACACACCATGCGTATACGTATAGATCCTCGACTCGGCTGGATTGTGGCCTCGTGAATTTGATCCACCTTGTCGTCCTCATCTCAGCCCAGTGCAGTTGATATTGGACATCTGGACGCCTACGGCGATACGACGCTTTGCGACCAGCACAGATCCTGATCGACAGGGCCACGTGAGGACTCCTAAGGGGCTCTCAACTCAAGGTTGGTTAACGACTTCTCATCACCAGTGTGTGTGTGTGTGTGTACGCCCGTGTGTGTTTGTGTGTGTGTGTGTGCGTGTGGCCTGCCTTGTTTCTCCTTTCTGGTCGGCTGCCGTTGCTGCCCTCCTGCTGCGCCTGGCTTGATGCCTCGGCTCGTCACTGTCGCACTGCTTCTCCCAGTCCTCGTCTCCCTTACTTCCTCCCTCTTCCCTCTCTCCTCTCTCCCCTCGCCACTACCCCTTCGCGACTGTTGCTGTCTATCTCCCATTTGCGGAGACAACGCCTCCACGCTGCGTGAGCTGGGCCGGCCCGCATGCTCCCGCCTGACTTGACCTAGGTCGCACCGCCGCGCGCGTGGCCGCAACTCCAACAAGTGTGTGTGTGTGTGTGCGTGCGTGAGAAAGAGAGAGAGAGAGAGAGAGAGAGAGTGAATGTGCATGAGTGTGTGTGTGTGTGTGTGCGTGTGTGTCATCCCATCGACCTTGCGCTTCTTCGCCTCGGCTTTGCCTGCCTCCTCGTCAGCCTCGCCGGCTGCAGGAGGCATGGGAGTAGGACCGAGCGAAGGAGGCACAGGAGACGTGAACATGGCTAGGGAGCGGGCGGGGCACCCAGCGGTGCGCAAAAGCACGCCTGGCCGGGCCGAGCGAGACGGACAGTGTGAGACATCACGGCAGACAGACATGACGAGGGACAACGATAGGGGGGGATATAGGGGAACAAATTACCCCAGTGCGACCCCACCTAGAAGTTGGAGCCCCTGGGAAAGCAGCATTACTTGCTATGCGCTGCTATGCTATGCTATGCCATGCTATGCTGCGCTATGCTATGCTATGCTATGCTACGCTATGCTGCGCTATGCTATGCTATACTATGCTATGTTATGCTATGCTAAGCTATGCTATGTCATGCTGCGCTGTGCTATGCTAAGCCATGCTATGCTATGCTATGTTAAGATGCGTTATGCTATGCTATGCTATGCTATGCTGTGCTGCGCTATGCTATGCTATGCTATGCTATGCCATGCCATGCTATGGTTGGTTATGTTATGCTATGCTATGCTATGCTAATGCAGCGCTGCGCTATGCTAAGCTAAGCTAACCCTCTAGGCAGAGCCTTAGGTAGGGAATTACACCCATGCTAATGCTGTTGCTGTTGCTTTGCTTTGCGTTGCTTGTGCTTTGCTTTGCTGTCGCTGCTGTTGCTTTGCCTTTGCTTTGCTGCTGTGCGATGCTATGCTCTGCTCTGCTCTGCTCTGCTCTGCTATGCTATGCTGCGCGGTGCTATGCTGTACGGTGCTGTACTGCGCTATGCTATGCTATGCTATGCTATGCTGCGCTATGCTATACTATGCTATGCTATGACATGCTGTGCTGTGCTATGCTGTGCTACGCTCTGCTATGCTATGCTGTGCTATGCTATGCTAAAGCTCGGCGAAACTAAGATGAAGGTAAGCTAAGCTAAGATAAACCTGAGCTAAGATGAAACTCAGCTAAACTAAGATGAAATAAGCTAAGCTAAGATGAGACAAGTAACGCTAAGCTAAGGGAACGTCACTGGGGGAACCACGGGGCGGATGCCGGGGGAACCGCTCGGGGCGAGGAACACTGCCCAGCCCCTTAAGCTTACAGGGTAAGAACCCTTCTAGGCAGAGCCTAGGTAGGGGAAAAATTGCATAAACATAAAAACTGGGAGGTCCGCGCGGATTTCTCGGATCGGCGCTGGACCCCCCTCCCTGGCGCGCGGAGCGCGCCAGGGGCGGCGCCGGAGGCGCCGCCGGGGGGCCCCCAGCGCCGATCCGAGAAATCCGCGCGGACCTCCGAGTTTTCATGTTTATGCCACTTTTTGTTCCCATAGGATAAGCAGATGGGGGGGATGTGTCGATCTGGAATCGATCTGGATCGGCGATACGTCGCCGCTGGATCGGCGATGGGCCCGATAGCGACTCCGCAGCTTCCTGGGCGGGTCGGGGCCATCGGGCCCCTGTCGGCGATCGGTGGGCGGTTGAGGGTCGATGCATCCCCCCCTGTGCCTATCTCCCTCTATCGTTGCCCCCGGCATGGGAGGATGTGTGACGATTGCGGTAGCGATGGCGACGACAACTAGGACCGGGAGGAAGAGGAGGAGGAGGAGGAGGAGGATGATACGGGTGTGCGACGAGACGCCATGGCCAGAAGAACTGGGCCAGGGGTGGTGACGATGGCGATGGTGATGATGGTGATGACGATGGCGGTGATGCTCATGATGATGGTGACTTTTCCTCGGCGTCAAGACCAAACTAGAACGGTTGCAGGTTTGAAGAAGATAATCCGGTCCGTTGCTGATGGTGGTTGTGGCGGTGATGCCGCAATGCTGGAGACGACAAAGATGCGACGACGTTGGGCGCGGCTGCAATCGCGGCAGGGGGCATGCTGATGCCGACAATGATGAGGGGAGGAGGGCGGAAGGGAGGGAGGACGAGAGGCGGCGGCAGGGAGGGAGGAGGGGGGATAATGGGGGGGAGACAGGAGGATGGATGGAGGGAGGCAGGGAGGAAGAAGCGGGGGTGTGGGAGGAAAAAGGAAACATGGAGAAAAGGATGAAGGATAGCGGAAAGACACGACACCGGCCAGGGACACCCGAGCCCTTCGGCCTTGCGCTTCTTCTCGAGCTCCTCTCCGCCCGCCTCGCGCCACGCCTGCATGTCCCTCTCGTACTGGGCGGTGGCCTGCTCGAACTTGGCCTGCCACTCGGCCTCGCACGGACGTCCCCCTCCATCTGCCACTGTTGCTCCCCCCTCCTTCTTTCTCTCCCTCTCCTGCTCCTCCCCCTTCCTTTCCCTCTCCCCCTCGTCCTCCTCCTGCTGATCCTCTTCCTCCACATCCTCAGCCTGGTCCGCCCCCTCTCCCCTTCATCCTCCTCCTC